GACTTACAGAATTAACGTTACAATCTGTCTATGTCTAATGACCCAAAATAAAGAGGTTGAAAATCGATCAAACAAAACAACTTCTTCTAATCATTGAGGCTAATCATTAAGCCATTGGGCAGCCTAACGTGCATAGGAGATTTTTAACAGCAAGGTTGCCAATGAAGGGGTAACAAAATACTGCATAAAGCAATAATTCATTTCCAAAATGCACCATTCTTGACAGGAATTCAATCCTTGACAGGTTAGCACTGCATTCCATTATGCTGATTCCTATTGCGGGAATGAGCATTTCTGATTCCCGATGATGAATGAGGTCCTAAAGTCATGAAAAAGCACGCCCTTAGCTTTATAAGTTACTTATACTGGTAAAAGTCCATTTCTTTTTCACCGTTCCTCTTTCTCGCATGAAGAAGTTATTTATCCACATTTAACGAGGATTACTAGACGGTGTGGTGCTTGTCAGTATAATATGGCCCTGCCGGAGATTTTTGTCACAATGTCGATTTGCTTATTATTGCAGTCTAGAAAAATCAACGCTCTGTAGAAGAAGAACACTTCACGAGTAGTAGATGAATAGTTCTCCAGACATACATTTAATCTATCTATCATTAGTCTATTCATATTATTATTGATCAAACAAGAAACAACCATCTAAACCATGTCACGACTTTTTGAGAAGTCAAAAGGAGCTATTGAGATTAAAAAAAATGACGATTCATTGTGATACAGACGGTTGGACTGGCAATGCATTGTTAATCTTTGCTGGCTGTTCGTTTACGAACGCTGATTCAGCCAGCTCAATTGTGCGGACAAGCCCAGCAGCTTTTCTTTGACACTCAATCTGCTCCTCATGGGGATCGCTATCAGCCACAATTCCGGCTCCAGCTTGAATGTGAGCAACCCATTCTTGCCGCTTGTTGGTATGTTTGTACGAATATATTGTGTCATAACGGGCTCCAGTAGAGAATATCATTGTCCCGAGTGCCAGTGCAATTTCCATATCTCCTGTAAACGAAATTCGTCCAAACCCTCCACTATAAGGTCCTCGTCTTGTTACTTCAAATCGATCAATCAGCTCCATGGCCTTCACCTGTATGAGAGATGGAAGCAATAGCTGTAGACCTTACATCTGAATTGCATTTCGTCGAATCAATTGGAAACAATGAAAGAAGAGTAATAAACAAACCTTTGGCGCTCCACTAACTGTTCCAACTGGTAATGTAGCTTGCAGTGCATCCCAGCAAGTTAAATGATCGAGCAACTCCCCTGTGATCTGTGAGTAAAAGTCATAGTTAATTACGAAAACAGCTTAAATTTAAAGGTGAACTGATTTGTATACTCACTGTAGAGCTGATATGCATCGCGTGGGAATATCGCTCAACAGTCATAAGCTTCTCGACTTTAACAGAACCAGATTTGGAGACCTGCATTAAGAATCCACAAAAAGTATATCTGAATAATTTTTTTTATATGAAAAGAAAGTAACTATGGACAAAGATAGAGAGGCAGTCACTTGCATGTAAATTTACCTTGTACATATATCAGACCAACATGGGTTGCCCCTTGTTGGAAACATCATTAGTACCAATTATTTGCTTATCATATTTTTACACATCAGTACAAAAATATTACATGCATGTGATGTCTTCAATCTGTACTCAAGCCTACGGGGCTGCAGCCTGTTACTGACATGAAAACATAATCCAGCCACCCGAAAGAAGACTAGTAGGATCCTAGACGATATGGAACAGACCTTTGTCTTCAATCTCTTCTGTATTTAGATGAATTGTTGATAAAGAAATGCAGTATGTTTGTCAAAATCTATGCCACTGGTCGCAGAGATTTTTAAAAGTACAATTATAACTATAATCACTAACAAAGAAATGATTCTAATAACTTCATAGAAAATGAATTTGAAGAGGTGCTGACAGTACAATCCCACCTAAAATTTCAAAGATACTATGGACATAGCAATAAAAGGAAATTAGGAAGAAACTATTGACGGGAAATTATAGCAGGGAACATAACATGAATAGGTGACATGCTGTCAAAATTTAGCACATAATATATATATTTTTTTCTCTCGCAATACTTTCGTGTTAAAACAGACAAGGAGAAACCTTTCTGACGTCATTTCGGCCCAAATCAACTAGCATAACGTGTTTTGCACATTGCCTTTCATCCTTTAGCATCATACATTCTAACATCTCATCCTCAAGAGGCGTCTTCCCTCTTTTAATGGTTCCAGCCAAGGGTCGATTAACAATCTTTTTCTGTCAAGAAGAATGCCAAAGAAAATTTATGTTGGTATTTAACCCTATAAGCACTACGGAAATTACAGAAGACCTTGAAGATATCAAAGCACTGAAGATATGTGGATTCTAAAAGTAGCCTCACACGACCAGTTAAATTAGGAGAAATGGGACCATTATTTTACCTTGTTGATACAAGTAAGAAGTTCTGGGCTTGAAGCAACCAAAATACACCCTCTAGCCTGACATGAAGTAAGAAGCTGTGTTAATTGATTAAGCGAAGGATAGCGATAGTCAAAGAGGGGAAAAACCTGCAAATAACTCATGTATGGACTAGGATTCACAGCTCTTAAAGTTCTGTAGATTTCAAATGGGTCAGCAAATGTACTTCTTTCAAAGCGTTGACTTAAGATAATCTGCAAGATATCCCCCGCTAAAATATGCTCTTTTGATTGTACAACGGCATTCTTATATTCCTCACTTGTCATGTTACTTTTGGTTAAATTGAGTCCAAACTTGTGATTATGCAGGTCTGTGAAACCTGGAGATAGCCTTGGACTAATACATGATGATAAAAATTACAGATTAGCAAGGGTAAATTAAGTCAGACAATTATTTTTAAAGATAAGATATCACATAGACTTTTTACTCACGGATCAATGTCTTTTACTCTAGACACCAATTGTTCCAAGCGTGTGATTCCGTGGTTGTAAGCCTCCTCAGCAGACAAGAATCTATCCAAGCGGACCCAATGAATTACAAATACTTTCTGCACCAACAAGGGGAATTCACAAATAATCTCAGTTATATATACAAATATAAATATAAGAATGAGATATACAGATAGACAAAACTACGTAGTGTGACACAGAGAAATCTGACTAAATCGAAATGGAGTTCATGAGACTTGTTTTTAATAAGTTCTAGGAAGAAATTGTGAGTATCATGTATAAAATTACTATATATAGAGTATGCGTAATTAAGTCTATATCAAACATTTCGAATTCGACAACCCCTTTGTCATAATTGATTTTGCTTCTGCAGGGGTTAGAAGTTCTATTTTTGTCTGAAAAATAAATAAATAAATAAATAAAGGAAAAAAAAAAGTGAGATAAGATCCATACATTCAGATTTATAGTCCCTTACCTTCTCTACATGATCAAACACGATAACATCGTCATAGAGTCCAAGATGAATGTCAGCAAGGTTTCTATCATCTCTTGGTGCATTCGTGAATGAAAGCTTTTTCTTCTCTAGATAACGAACCGTATCATATGAGAAATAACCAACCCATCCACCTGCTCAAGAGCACAAGGAAATTAGAAGGATATCTTTGGTCTTATTCTACATGTATCTTTGTGCAAAGATATACATGCAAACTCAACTACGATGAATATTGCAATAATCCCGTTCCTAATGTTCTATAAGAACTTCAAGCATTCATGTTGAATACCTCAAGTATCAGATGTAATTCATAGAACCTCTAGATCTAGTACATGTAGACACAACGAATATTATCTTTTAACCTATTTTCATTAATAAACCGTAAAATGGCCTAATTGGCTATCCTTGTCCTGGATTCCTTCGAAATTTAAGACTAAAGCTGCATCAAGTGCCTGTTTTAGAATGTGCATTTTGAAGAGTTGAAGTACAATATAAAGTATGAAATTAATGTTACATGTATAGCATAGAAGTACTGAATTAGTGTTGTGAAGTTCATGCGTTTTCCATATGGAAGTCATTGACCTACCAAGAAAATCAGTTAAGACAAGTAAAATCTCATTTAACATTAAACATTTCAGACATTCAATAAACAAGATAACAGACATTCAATAAACGAGATAACGTATTATTACATCTAAGTCTTACCACAAAATGAATCAGGAAGTTCTTCAATCAATTGTGGTCTCCAATCCTCTGAAATATTTCTTGGAACCATCATTGGGTCCTCTACGAACTTCTCAATTTTTGTCCCTTCTTCATGGTCCAACACTGTGACCTTGTTCTCTTTTGCCACTATTTCCATTGTCGGTTGTGCTCCTACCATGCTATATCGGCCCTAAACAAACCATGACATAAGAATTTAAAGGAATCCCAAACACACATGAATGCGCCAATCCATTAATTTCCAAACGAACTAAGAATTTTGAGCAAGAATTCATTTTCTTACAACAGTGGAAGTGCGGTAACCAGGCTTGACAGATTCAAAGAGGAAGCTCGGAGCCTCTCTATCTTCTTCCTTAACCAGACACCGATAAGCAAGCACGGGTGTCAACTGATCCGAGAAAATGATTTCGCACAAAGGAATTAAGTTCCCATTTTTTGATGCTTTAATGAATCTCGTCTCATCCAAAACTAATATTTAGAAACAAAGAAGAGGGACAACATCATAATCCAAACGCTCGCTACCATCTAACAACATATGAAAATGTCCAGCATGAAAAAAATAAAAACAAATGCTAATGCTGAAATTTGATCATCATCAAACTCTTGTTTACCCATCTAATAATTAATAGAAAAAGAAAAATAAATTTTAAAATACAATTATTTTTTAACAACATTAACCCCCGTTTGATCTCTGCTCCATTAAATGTGTTTTTGGGGGGAAAAAATTGTATTTTGGAATAGTTATATTTTGAAGAATGCATGGTTAAAAAAAAAAGAGGGAAGAAAACACACGCTAAAATAATTTCATCATTGAAACTCTTTTTAACTCTCAATTAATCTGGAAAATAAAAATCAGAAAATTTCGACTTGGAACTATAATTAATTTTAATTTTCCTGCTCTTCATAGTCTAACCGACTCAAGGAAAAGTTAATTCTGCAAATTGACTTTAGAATATAGAAATGCATGTCAATGCAACAGGAAAATTGCAAAAACATTTAAATGTATGCGAATATACAGACACGCCCATACACACATACACCTATGGTCACACACTGAAATACAGAGAGAGAAACCTAAAGATGGAGACTGAACGGAGCAGCACTGGAATTTACGAAACCCTAATGAAACGAACGAGCTTGAGCTTCTTCTACTCGAAATGCCAGTCACCAGTGACAGCCAGCGGTCCACTGGTGATAGCCGGTTTGAAAAATTTGGAGCTTGCATCTTCCAAGCTTCACGTTCAAGAACCACTGTTTGAGTTTGAGTTTGAGTTTGAGTTTGAGTTTGGGAGAGACAGGCAGACAGACAGATCGTGAATTGAGACCACTGTTGTAAAATTCGACCCAAATATCGATCCGAAAAAGATAAAGACTCAAGAGTGTCGAACCAGGATCGAACGGAAGGTAAAAATAATTAAATGAAAATGAATATCATAAATAAATTATTTTAGATCGAAATATTGAGTTATTTAAGGGTTTCTACATTATTAAGTTGTTAATACTAGACAACTCATTCTTTCGTAATAAATTAAGAAGACATTCTCAGAAACTCTATTCCATTTTCTTAATCAACATTCAAACGTAATTTCGTAATAAAATTGTTTACGACGTACAGCTAAACGCTGTATAAAAAAATACCTTAAAAAAATTTTATTCACTTTTTACAACGTACAAAACCCACTATAAATAGAACACCATTCATTTTTTATGGCATGCTATGTTGCACGTTGTAACTAAATAATTTTTACGGCATGCAATAAGGGATGCTGTTATTTACAATTAAATTTTTACCACTTTCCTTTTAAGCATGCGTAAAAAGTGACATCTTGCTGCGGCATAAACATGGATGCCGTAACAAATGTTGAATTTATGACTTTTTAATCGCACATCGTAAGAAGTATGTCGGCTTTTTACGACATGCATTAGGAAACACCATAAATATCCATTGAACGGTTTTAAAAATATTGTTCGTTTATTTGATTACCAGCAAAGCTTTAATAATCAAAAAATAAAATAATAAACATTAATCCATATAATCAGGTTTTTTATATTTTAAATAAATACAAAATGAGTATGGTTCAATACAATATGTCAAAATATAAAGTTCATCTAAACAATTCTAACATCTTTGACTACTACAAAAAATATAATAATAATAATAATAATAATAATAATAATAATAATAATAATAATAATTGATCCATATCGAAGTTTACTTCTTTGACCAACAATTTAGCTGTCCTGCAAATATATTAACTACATATGTGCATATCACAAAAATAATAAAGGTATAATTAATAAACTTAGATTGAATACGAAAACCAAAAGTCTATCAAGATTTATATAATCTTTTATTTAAACAAACATTGCATGTTAACTTTAGTATATTGTTAAAAATAAAATATAAAGAGAATTTGATTCACATACGAGCCTCAATAGAATTGCATCCATAAACACCATATCTTCCAAAAAATGATTAAGGGATAAGACATTAAAACATCTCTAAAAGAAAAATAAACGATTTCATTACAAAGTATATAACAATGACCCACCATTCATGACGCTAACTACTTTTAGACTTTGTTTTGTGGGGGATTAAAATTAGATCTTTTAGTATATTTTTTATAAAACTTAATGAAATATATGATTGAAAGTTGTAGACTTATGAAATATATGATTAAAATTAATTGTTAACTTTGATTTATATTAAAATTTAAATTTTAATCCCTACTATACAGGGATTTAATATTCTCTGTTTTACAAAGGTGAAATATTTATGAATTTTCGGTCAAGAAATCTTTGTTTTTAAATATTTTGTTGGAATTAGAATTGACGTTTTTGAGATTAATTTAGGTTAGAACTTATATTCATATGGTTATTTTTGGTAATTCTGCAATATTTCAAAAGTTCAATATTAGACTGCTGTAAGATTTGACATTCCAATTGTCACTATTAATTATTTCGAAATTTTAAACTTATGAGAAAAACAAATCATTTTGCACATAAAGAGAGCATGGGAAATATAAATATGAAATCTACTATAGCTTTTAAAACAAGTTATGCATAATATATGCTCCAATGTATCATATATAAACTTTTTTTAAAAAAAATAATCTTTGCGTATATTAAAAGATATGTTGAAAAGATAAATAAATAATTATTTTCTCAAAAAAATATTTTTTTAAGACAAAATTGTTATTCAATAAAATTACAATAGTTATAATGAGACAATGCTAAATTATATCATTCATATTTGCAATACGTTTATATATTCGAAAAAACTAAATGCATTTACAAAACAAAATTTTTATAAGAACTAACATTTTTCACAATCTAAATTCAAAAATAATGCATTATCAAACTATTTATTTCAATTTATCGAAACAAAATTACAAAGCTTAGTGATTAATTAAGAAAAAAAATTCCGGTAGTTAAAATATCTCGTTTTCTATTTTCGAATGCCCATCAAAACAAATTTCAGCAAAGACAAAGTTGTAATATTCCTTGTTCAGAAACTGTTCTATACACCTAAATAAGTAAAACTTTAACTTTCCACAGAGAGATAGTAAATGTGGAGAAAACTACACTTGTAAAAAAAAGGCCACTGATTTTGAACTCCCTCGATTCTTTCAACTGACCTTATAAGTGAAATTTGAATACATTTTGATGATCAAACATTTCAAATCAAAGTAATGAACTTGATTGTGAATATGATATTGAAAACCTTTCATAAAACACCTCTAATCTTACAACTTGAGGCACATTTACTGAGGCCTACCTCTCGACTAAGAGAGGCTTAAGAGACTAAAATGTTTACCTGTTTGTCTTGCGGACATTTTGCTATTGTTCTCAACTTTTTGGAAATATTATTTCCATATTTACATGGAAGGAAAGGGATGAAGAAATCACGATAGCTAGTGTAGTATGATTCACGAGAATAAACTAATAGTGATGAAGCGAATGACGATGATTATTCACTTATTTTGCTTCTTGTTATTTAACTTAGAACTTATTACTTGATATATGTATAAAAAAATTAATATATGTATAAAAAAATTAGGAATAATCTTTATCACATACGCAATCACATAGATAACCTATAATTTAATGCATTTTGATCATATGAATTCGAACTAGGAGTAGGATTGAATCGTGAGTAAAATAGACTTAATTTATCTTAAAAAAAGAATTAAATATACTAGTGTTATCGATTGTCACGAAAGCACGAAATTAACTATATTACGAATCAAGAATTAAATAAATGGCAATATGGGGATTCAAAATCAAATACAATTATTCACATATTTGACAAAACATTTTTTATTGCTTTCTTATAATATAAATAACAACCAAATCACATCTTTTATGTTACGATCATCGAATTTAGTGGTAACTAGTGAACTAGAATTAAACATTATTCCTCATGGGACGATGACTAGCAACTCGCTTTATTATTACTTGTCAACAATCCCGCACGCTTGTGGGTTTCACACGAACAAGTTTTTGGCGCCGTTGTTGGAAATAACGGATTTAATTTTAGTTTAGTAGTTTATATTAGATTCAAAATTTTTCACTTTATTATTATTATTATTATTATTATTATTATTATTATTATTATTATTATTATTATTTTGGCTACCTATCTCTCTTATTTGATATTCTTTCTAGGTGCTATTCAGCAGTGTATGCAAGATTCTGATGCTGGCATAATAACATTATTTTTGCAATAATTAATCTCCACATGGATGATGAGGAAGAAGATATATATTGTGAGTTCTGCTATAGGGTGTATTATATTGGCTACTGCTTGTATACATACACTGACCCAGGAAGGCTCAAATCCTGCGATTTCAACAATATTTGCGATTCGAAGATTAGCATTTGACAATGCTAATGAAGACTACATGCTTGTGGGCAAGTGTGTCCCTTCAGACAGACACACTTGTGGAAGTTGGTCTTTTCATGTCGAACGAGGAGGTATTTGCAAAATACTATACTGATCTTGCCAAGTTAGATGAAAGCAAAATGTGCATGGGAGATGGCATATACTTGATCAAATTTCAAAGGTATGGGGTATAATCTACTCAAGAAGTTTGAGCAAAAATAGTTTCCATTACCCGTGGATTTAAATTGTGAATAGACCATTCAATCTGAGGAGATATCAATTATGGAAAACGAGCATAAAGACAATGAAAGATCACTTACAAAGGAACAAAGCGAAGAAGATGCAATTAATGAAGAAGAAATTAACACATATTCTTTCGACTTCATTGATTGTCCAATCATTGAATTTGTAATCAAGCCCGAAGATGAGGAAGAAGTATGCCTAGTTGATTTCGAATTGAAAAAAATAAGCAAGTCAGATCACGTTGGAAGAGGCAAGGTTAAGATTTGGAAAGTCAACGAAAAGTGGAACAAAGTTAAAAGAAGCAAACTAAGCAAGGCATTAAAAGTTTTCTTTAAAATTTCATGATCCAAAACAACAAAGTCAAGTTAATGACTATAAATAAGAACTTATTGGGAGACAAACTATTTTTTTTCTTTTTATTTATTTTTACTTTTTAGAAAATAGGGTTAATAAATTTTATTGCTTTTACTAGTTTAGTAATTTTTATTACTAAACGTAGTATAGGGTATCTTCATCCCCATATTTTCCTTTAGGTTGTATTTGAACTTATTAAATAGTGTTTCATGTTATGATTGATTTTTCAATTATTTTGAAGGAACGTGATACTTGAGCATATTGGACAAGGGAAAAGATATAACAAGCGAGCCAGAACTTTCATGCTAGTCAATCCATCACATTCAAATATTTATCAGGGGAGTACTTAGTTCCATTCTTTGCCCTTAATTTTTATATATTGCTTGTTTTATTTTAAGACATTGAGGGCAATGTCTGTTATAAGTTTGGAGGTGGAAAAACATTGAGTTCTTATTGTTTTGTGTGCTTGTTCAAATGCATGTTCAACTTATTTTTTTGCTTTTGTGTACTTGTGTGGATTAGATAAATTTGCCTACTATGATGAATATATTTGGAACCATGTGTTAGGCTATAAATTATGAAAAAGTTGCATGTTAAGGTTGATTTATACTTATTCATATAAAACTTAATATTTTTCGAGCACAAAATTTATGTTTTGCATCATGAAGGAATTACTTGATTCAAAATTTGAATAGGTTGAAAAAGAAAAATATAATGGACATTAGATACTAAATCCAAACAACCACTAAATTATGCATCCTTAACCTAAATTTAGAATAGTTTGGGGGTGATTGAACTGTTGTAGTAAGACATTAAAACAAATGTGGATTCCATGTGTGCTAAATTTTGTGTGGATTGTT